ATTTTACTTATTATCATTGGCTCACTAGCTTTAGACAAATTTATTGGTTCCTATGATTACTTGTAATGTTAGTATTATGGTGCTTGATTTAGTCCCACATCGATTAGGATTGTGAGATGAGGTTCTCTATTTTGTTATATAAGCAACCCTATGTAAAGTTTGAGATACACACAGAAATAAAAATACTTCCTAGTGTAGTCGTGGACGTAGGCATACATATTTTAGCCGAACCACGTTAAAATTCTTGTGTCGTTTATTTTCTCTCCTTCATTCTTTCCTTTATTATTGTCTTGTTCCTAACAATTGGTATCAGAGCCAAGGTCACGAGTTCGATTCCTGGTGGGCAATTGTTGAGGGGGAGATTGTTGCAGGTTGCACAATTGTCCCGTGGCAGAGGCCGGGTGGGCCAAGTCACAATCCAAGAGTGGGATACCTTGTAGGACAATTGCTGAGGGGGAGATTGTTGCAGGTAGCATCAATTGTCCTGTGACGAAGGTCAGGTGGGCCGAGTCACAATTGAATCGTGGCGCTTGGGCTGTTAAAGTAAAAAGAGTTGCGCTCTGACTAATGGCTATAGCTTTTGGCCTAGTGGTAAGCGCTCGATCCTAACAATATTATGTAACCTTCATTGATGACTCTACAAGAAAGGTATGGGTTTATTTTCTTAAAAATAAATCTGATGTGTTTTCTGTGTTTAAAAGGTGGAAAAAGGAGGTTGAGACTCAAACAGGTTTAAAGGTCAAATGTTTGAAGTCTGATAATGGTGGAGAATATGACAGTAGTCAATTCAAGGAGTTTTGTTCAGAGAATGGGATCAGAATGATCAAGACAGTTCCAGGAACACCAGAACAAAACGGTGTGGCGAAAGAATGAACAGAACCTTGAATGAGAGAGCAAGATGTATGAGAATCCAGTCGGGATTACCCAAGGTATTTTGGGCGGATGCAATAAGCACAACAGCCTATCTCATAAACGAGAGGACCATCAGTTCCTTTAGACTATAAGTTACCCGAAGAAGTATGGTCTGGAAAAGGGGTAAATCTTTCACATCCGAAAGTTTTTGGTTGTGCTTCATATGTTATGTTAGACTCTAATAGTAGAGATAAATTGGACCCTAAGGCAAAACGTTGTTATTTCATTGGTTATGGATCGGACATGTTTGGCTACGGGTTTTGGGATGACCAAAACAAGAAAATTATCGAAGTAGAAATGTTACTTTTAATGAAAACATGTTCTATAGAGACAGGATTGCAGAATCTGCAAATGTAAATAAACAGACTAGAGCAAGTATCATTAGAAGAAATTTCAGAAAGTGATGTAGTCAACCGAAGGCGGAATATACAAGTAGAGCCTATGTCGAGCACTGAGACAGAACTCGAACAAATAGTAGAGTCAGCAACTCCTGAAATCTTGGTTAGAAGATCTAGCAGAACAATTGTAGCACCACAAAGGTATTCCCCTTCATTGCATTATTTGTTGTTGACTGATCTTGGTGAGCCGGAGCATTTTGTTGAGGCTATGCGGGGAGATGAATCTATTAAGTGGGAGCTAGCAATGGAAGATGAGATAAAGTCCCTTCAGAAGAATAAAACATGGTCTTTAACCAAGCTACCAGAAGGAAAGAAAGTTTTGCAAAACAGGTGGGTCTATAGGTTGAAAGAAGAACCAGATGGCGGCAAAAGATATAAGGCTAGACTCGTAGTGAAAGGGTTCCAACAAAGACAAGGAATTGACTTCACGAAATTTTCTCTCCTGTTGTCAAGATGACTACCATCGAGTTATCTTGAGTATAGTAGCTGCAGAAAATCTTCATTTGGAGCGGTTAGATGTCAAAACCGCATTCTTACATGGGGATCTTGAAGAGGAAATTTTTATGACACAGCCAAAAGGTTTTGAAGTACAAGGCGGAGAAAATCTTGTATGCAAGCTTCATAAAAGTTTGTACGGATTAAAACAAGCGCCGAGACAATGGTACAAGAAGTTTAATGAGTTTATGAGAAACTCGAGATTTCGCAGATGTGAAGAAGATCACCGTTGTTATGTGAAGAAATATGTTGATAGCTATATCATTCTTGCCTTATATGTTGACGACATGTTGATTGTTGGAGCTAATATGGCAGAAATTGACAAGTTGAAGAAACAATTGTCGAGAGCTTTGAAATGAAGGATCTTGGTCCAGCCAAGCAAATTCTTGGTATGAGAATCTCCCGAGATAGAGATAAAGGTATTTTGAACTTATCTCAAGAAAAATATATAGAAAAATTGCTTAGCAGATTCAATGTTGGGAATGCTAAAACCAGGAATACACCTTTGGGAACTCACTTAAAGTTTTCAAAGAGGCAATCTTCTCAAACAGAAGAAGAAGAAAGTCACATGTCTAAAGTGCCATATGCATCTGCAGTAGGAAGCTTGATGTATGCTATGGTTTGCACCGGACCGGACATAGCACATGCAGATGGGAGTTGTGAGCAGATTTCTATCAAATCCGGAAAGGAGCATTGGGAAGGAGTGAAGTGGATATTCGGATATTTGAAAGGCACTTCAAAGATGCATTTGTCTTTCAAGAGAAGTAATCTCATTTTACAGGGGTTTTCCGATGCGGACTTGGGAGGTGATCTTGACGGTAGAAAGAGCACAACAGGTTATATTTTTACATTGGGTGGTACAGCTATCGGTTGGAAGTCTAAACTTCAAGGAAGGGTCTCTCTCTCAACCACTGAAGCGAGTATGTAGCTATCTCGGAAGCGGCGAAGGAGATGATATGGTTGAAGAACCTTCTAAAAGAATTAGGAAGAGAACAAGATGGTTCTCCGTTGTTTAGTGACGATCAAAGTGCTATTTGTCTTGCTAAAAATCCAATCCTTCATTCCGGATGTAAGCACATTGAATTGAAGTATCATTTTATCGAAACCCGATAAATGATGGAGACTTGAGTTTGTTGAAGATTCCAGGTGCAGAGAATCCCGTCGATATGTTGACCAAGACTGTTACAACAACTAAGTTGAGGCTTTGCATTGCCTCAACCGGCCTTCGAGCAAATTGATGATGAAGACACTACACTAGGTGGTAACGTAAATCAAACTCCAAGTGGGAGAATTGTTAGTATTATGGTGCTTGATTTAGTCCCACATCGATTAGGATTGTGAGATGAGGTTCTCTATTTTGTTATATAAGCAACCCTATGTAAAGTTTGAGATACACACAGAAATAAAAATACTTCCTAGTGTAGTCGTGGACGTAAGCATACATATTTTAGCCGAACCACGTTAAAATTCTTGTGTCGTTTATTTTCTCTCCTTCATTCTTTCCTTTATTATTGTCTTGTTCCTAACATGTAATGGTTCTATTTCATTGTTAATGATTATGTTTGTTTTTTTACCTTTGATGGAGAAGGAGGAAAATAATGGATTTCAACTTATTGGTGGTTGACAACTATTTTTTTAATTCATTTGGTGAGAAATGGTGAGAAAGGAAGCTTTTAGCCCTTTCTAAATGCATGCATGTGAGTGGTGAAGGGTCGTTCTTCAATTTTCCAACATTTCTCGTAAACTTTTGTAAAATTTCAAAATATAACTATACCAATTAATATCTTTTCATTAGAAAACTTTGTTTTAAACCTTTTTATTAATTTTTTTCCACAAAATCATATTTATAAAATTTTATATTAATCTAAACTATTTAGTTTTTCTTCATAAACATATAATTTCACTTAATCACTATTGTTAAAATATATTACAACAACAGGAACAATTGATATTACTATTGTTTTTTTTTATTGTTAATTAATTTTGGATAGATTTAATACAAACTCTAAGTTACCCTGCACAATAAAACTTAAACAATAATAAAGGATCGATAAAATGTTTAATAAAATTAAAAAGAAAAAAAATAAACTATACCTCACTCTTGACGCTTCAACATGTCAGAATGTTCAGGGGGAAGAGTTTAAGCATTAACCGTCCTAATTCGTCTCTTCCCTCCTCTCCTCTTTTCTTCTCTTCTCTCGCATTCGCACTGAAAACTCGAAGCAACAAACCAGAACCTTCGCAACTCTGCGTTCGTCATCGCAAAAGGCAAGATGGTGTTTCTTACCTTCGTTCTTTAATTTTTTGTATTTTAAATCCCTTGCAAACTGGTACCCTGTCAGGGGTCTATGTTTCGCGGTGGTCTCTTAGTTTCTCACGTTTTCCCTTCTATTCAGTATCGTAATCGTTAAATTTGATTTCCTCCAGTTTTTCTTACTGTCTCTCTTCATTATGTATGACTTGTGAATTCTGATATTGAATATTCGTAACTTAACATTCAGGTTTTTAGTTACTCGTTAGTTTAATTTGTTCTTAAGTGTTATCTGTATTTTAAATTGCCCTGGTAATCACACTTTTGTTGGATTCTTTGATGTTGCTGACAAGGTTGGGGACACTCTAAAGTATGTTCTCATGGTTTTAAACTGCGATCGTGGCCACTTTTTTTTAGTTGCGTTATTTAAAATTGCTGTGTTGTAAAACTAAGCAATTCCAGGAAATACTCGAAGAACTAGAAGAATAGGGAACCCAAGAAGAAAAAATTACAATGAATGTCCCAAAACTGTCTATTTTCATGCAACAGCAATAGTTGCATTTATAACCCACTAACTCAACAGTTTCCTAACAACTTCAAAAATCAGTAAGTTGACAAACAAATTTCATAACATGCTGAAAATGCTATTGGTGCAACAGCAATTGCGGTTGCAGACACTCCAAAAAGTGTTATCAACGTTTTAATCTATGGTTGCTTTTGCGGTAACAGTTTTGTTGTGCATGTGCTATTTGTTATTGCTGAGAAATGTCACCATTGCGACCACAATTGAGGATGCGGACACTCCAAAAAACTTTGTTGCTGCGGACTGTTTTTTAAATCTTGGTGTCACTCATTGTTGTATTTTTTTTTATATATCTATTTTTTTTTCTTTTTTGGTGCTTAGGTGTTAAGTAGTTAGGGTTTGAGGGTGAAAAAGAAAGGATATGACATCCTCAGACGAGGAGGCAGAGGCTCAGCTTCTATCTGTGTCAAATTACTACTTTGAAGATGACAAAGGCGCACCAGTGTGTTTTTCCATGTTGCCAATTCGATGGAGTGAGTCAGAGAGTCCAGTTGGCAAGAAAATGCAGATGTTCTTGCGCGGTTTTGCGGATAATGGGCTGCAGAAAATTTTTGTGCAAGTTGCTGCATGGAGGTTTGATCTCTCCTATGTGAGGCCTGAGATATTGGTGCTCTCAAATAATGGAAAATGGATTAAGCTTGAGAAGCCTAGGAAGAGCTATGAGGAAACCATAAGAACTATTTTGATCACCATTCACTTCCTGAGTTATGTGAAGAGGAATCCTGATTCATCGGCCAAGTCTGCATGGGATTACTTGAGTAAGAATAAGGAGTTTAGGTAATTTTCAGAGTTCTGGAGTTATTTTTATCCTAACTGTTGCGGAAATGCATATTGTGACATTTTTTAATTTAATTATTTGCAGATCTTATGAAGTTATGCCTTCTCAAAATGACGTATTAAATCATATGACTTTAATGGGTGAAGCTATGAAAAGAGATGCTGGCTTAGCAAAGTCCAAGGTTTGTATAAGTCTTTAACAAATATGTTGTGATGGTGAACTTGGAAATTAGCATTTGATCTATTTTTTCCTTTTGATTTTGAAACATTCTCTGGGGGCTTTTGATTCAAAATATGCTTTGAAAATATGGTGGTATATTTTTGTCTTAATTTGAAAGTTATATTTTACATTTAACATGGGTCTGATAGCTGATGCAAGACCAAGAGAATTTAATTAGATGTATTAAAAAATCATCTGTTGCTATTTTTTGGCTTTTAATTTTTGTTAAGGAAACAGGTTATCTTATTATACTAAATTGTACCCTTTGACAAGTTCCAGTAAAGATCCAGGATTAAGAGGTAAAGTGGGATTACATTTTTGAAGTAGATTTTAAATGTTGTGGTATCTATCAAGTGACACTATGAAGTGTGAGGTTGTTTCTTAGTGGAGTTCAAAAATTTAACTAAGCTTCTTAAATTGCTTTATCTTAAACTATACCTCGTTTATGGAAAGAATGAACGTACAAAAATTAAGTAGACTGCACAAGTCTCTTCTTTCTTCCCTTCAACTGCACCACAGTTAAAATTTTAGGTTGCACTTTCACCTTCCTTCTTCTTGAACATGCACTGTTCTGATGAGTTGCTTATCTTCTTTTTGCGGGTATTTCCTTTTTTCCATTTTGTTAGCAGTTATTTCCCTGTTTCTCTCTCGCTTGTGCAGTTTAAGGATGAGTTATCATTTAGAACTGCCTTCGTAAGGAACTTCTTTTTTGAAGATATGCTACTATGGGCGTAGTCATTTTCTTTTGATGACTAAACAGAAGATACTCAGTAACTTTTTTGACTCAGATGGAAAAAGGTAGTATATCAAAGGAAATAGATGATTTTTTTGGAGAACAATTCCTTTACAGCAGCAGTATAACTTCAACTTGGAAAAGAAACCAGGAAAAACAGAAAATAGCAACTCAAAAAAGATAACAACCAGAGCAGTGCTGCCAGACAACCTCTGTCTCCAAGGCAAATGCCTAACGAATTCCTCACCCAACTTTTGTTCTCTCTTTTACTTCTTCTCCTACCCTATAAACACGTCTTCCAATATCTTTCCCATCATGACAGAATTTTACACTCCAATGTCTTCTTGCCATGTGGACATGCTTATCACATTTCCATGCTTATCTCGTTTGTTCTCTTAGCCCATCTTCCTTCTTTTTAGCCCTCTTCTTATAAATTTGGGTTAAAGACCCAACACAGTCTGATTTTGCTTCATCTCCGAATATCTTATAAACATTTCCTTGTTTTCCTTCTCAATTAGTATTTTAATATCCTTTTCATATGCTTAATATGCGATCCTTCAAAAGTTGTATTTAATTATTGATGATGCATCTACTATGCGCCCTTAAAATTTGCTTTTCCTATAGTTATGCTAAGATTTACTCTCTCCTTGGTTTTGTTATAAACATAAAGATAAGGATTAAGTTCTCCTTTGTCTTGGCCTTTAGGTTTCTTTTAATTAAGCCTTAAATTTATTATTTTCTAATAATAATACTTTATTTCTTCTCCCGTTTTCTTAACAACATTTGTGCCTCACTTCAATGACAAATATTTGATTTAAACAGCTTTTGCTCATGGTGCGGGAAGATAAAAATAGGCTGAAGATTAAGAAACTTTCTGAAGAGGTTTGTTAGATATTTAGTTTTCCTTCATTGAAACTAATTTTGCTCTGACATATTTTCTTTTGTTACTTTCTTTTACACATGCCATATTTTTGTTATTTCAAAAATATAATTCGTTGATTTCAGGAAGTTAAAGATTTAGCACGACCTGGATTTATAATTGATGATACTGACAATGACTTGGTTGATGAAATTGGTGAAGAATCAGATGGGGAGGATGGGTTGTTTGATTCTGTTTGTGCGATTTGTGATAATGGTGGTGAACTTTTGTGGTATGTTTTTTCTTTCTCCGTGGGTTATTTTAATTTAGTGTGATTTCTCTGTTCCGTATAGTGTATTTAGGTTGTTTTACATAATTTTGACATAGTATTGTATGTGTTTACATGCCTCAATTATTTTTTAATTTTCAAGTTATTAAATGATAAATGCAGTTGTGATGGAAAATGCATGAGGTCATTTCATGCTAATGAGGAGGATGGTGAAGAATCTAATTGTGCCTCTCTTGGTTTTAGTCAGAAGGAAGTTGATGTATGTAAATTTTATATTGCCGTTATATTTATTCAACTTTTCTTTTTTCATTTACCTTTTCATTGTGTACATGGTAGATATTTGATTGCTCGTGACAATTTTTCAGGATATCCAGAACTTCTACTGTAAGAATTGTGAATATAATCAACATCAGTGCTTTGCATGTGGTACATTAGGCGGTTCTGATAAATTTTCTGGTGCTGAGGTATAACTATATGAAACAAAATGGGTTCATATTGTTGATTATTTCATTGATATATATTTTTTCTCCTTACTGTACAAAGTGCCATCCAATCCTTGGTTGTTTATCTGATATATTTACACACACATTTATTCTGTCAGTTTTGTTTCGAGTAGCAATAGCTGCATATTTATCTTTGCTCCGACTTTTAATGTACGATTTTGATGATTGTGTTTATGGTAGTTTTTGGTAAGTGAATATGAAGATACCTAAGGGGATTTTCATGCTGTGAAGCGTGGACTCTCACACCAGACATGTAGGACACCTGAACACACAGATATATGGGGGGCTTATATAGTGAGAGTGCCATTTCTATGTTTAAACGAGAAGAGTAAATCTAGCGCATACAACTAAACGTGGATGATTAAGTTTTAATGCTATGTAGACTTTTTAAAAAATCACATGACTTGTTTGTTTTAATTTTGATGTATCTTGATAACATCTAATAACTTAGATTATTTACTCCTCTCACTGTCAAATAAAAAATTACCCTCTCATTGGATACATTTTCTGTATATATGTATGGTTAGAGTGAGAGAGAAATACTCAAATAAAATGAAATAGGAAGGAACAATATAACAAAAGGACTAAATGATAACAATATTTGTATTTTCTTGTATATTCACATTTTCTTAATTAGGGCTGGAAATTGAGTTGAATTGAACCAAGCTTGACATGATAAAAATTGATTAGGCCTGAAGCTCGACTTATGTTCAATATGAACCTTTTAATTTAGTTTTAACTTGACTCGATTCAAGCTCACGAATGGCTCAGTTAGCTGATAAACTCAATTCAATGTAAATGTATAATTATTTTATTTACTTTTGTTTATTTATTTTATACAAATATAGAATTAATTTGAAATTAGTTATATAAATGTAATTATGTACATATATTATTTAATATATTTGTTGTGCTGGTTCATTAATCACTTGAGTTGAACTATATATTATTCAAGTTTAGGTTGACAATTTAACGAGCTCAATTTTTTACTCAACTTCAGCTTATTTGGTTCAACAAGTCAATTGTTGGATTGGGTTTCAAATTTTGTTTGAGTAGGTTCAGTTCATCATAAGTCCTATTTATGATAATGAGCCCCAAACAAAGAATATTAAGGGGCATTTTAAAATGAAACATATGGTCTCTTCACAAAAAATCTCAAAGTAAGAAGACAAAGTTATATCTTTTCATGAAAGTAAATTCACCTTCTCAAACCAACTTTATAAGATTTTGTATTTTTTATTTACGATATTGAGCCTAAAAAAAATGAGAGGCATGTATATTTAAACTGACTTTTCAAAACATAAAAATGATTGTTCTTTTAACAAAACTAGTATGTGTCCAACACATGGAGGTGTTGGCTATAGTCAGCCTAGATAATAACATGGTCGAGATAGATTGTAATACCTGCTTAGAATTTCGGTTGGGACTTGGATAATGATCTTAGCTTATTCAGGTTGAGTCTGAAAGATGATTCTGATGATGAAATGTAACTCCTTTTTTTATTCTTTTAATAAAAATGCGAGAGCTAAGACCTAACTATATTGTTTGCCATCCCAACTATGTTTGCACTACAAACAACATCAAGAATACATGTGTGGAGGTGCTGAATCCTACTGCTACAGAAGAGAGTGGCATTATTGGAGATGCTGAATAAGACTCAAGAATGTGTGTGGAGTGACTACGATTGTTACTGAAGTCCCAATGCAAATTTTAAGATAGTATTAGAGCTTATTAGATCCATTAAAAAGGTCACCTACCATATTATTTTCCACTCACCAAACCTATTCGTGGTTGGTTGGGGGGGGGTGGTTGTATTGGGAAAACTCATGCCCTAAATTGACTGAAAATAGTCTCAAAAAGTGTAATAGAAGTTGGGGGAAACCCTCACCTCATAATCTGATTTTATAGAGTTGAGTTAGACTTATAAGATTTACAAATTATTTTTAAAAAACATGAGTATGTTATTTATTTATGTACTGCATTGTTTATTTTCTTTATATACCATATATGTGGGTGGGCTGGATGTCAATTATGTGCCTGGGATTCCCTATAAAATTGCAGCTTATTTCTTTCACTTATGCAACACAAATTCGCTGACCAGCCTATCCCTTACTAACCATTGATGAAGTCAACTTTTCAATGTTGACGATTTCTGTGCAGTTTAATTTATATTCCATGCACATATGTTTTGTTGTCATGCATTGGGTTTGATTCTGCTTCAGAGCTTACAATGTACATGTGACACAATTCAAGTATTGCACTCCTGTCATGCATTAGCATTACTGCTAACTTTTGTCATTGGTGTTGTTGTTTTCATTTTAGCATGAACGCTTCTTCATTTTTAGCAATTTTTTTGACTGATTATTTGAGTATTAATGTTGTAAAGTAAGAAATAAATTGGAAGACAGACCCCAATGTAGGTGCAGTGCAGGTCATCTATTTATATATAATATATAAAATAGCTGTCAAAGTTGTATAGGATAGTACCAAAGGCATAAATATCCTTTCCATGCTAATCATATTCTTAATAAACTAAAACTAGTTTTACCAGTTAGCACTTCCCCAATGTTGATTTAGAGATCTTAAGGCCTCATTGTTTCTGCATTCCTGACCTCTATTTCCTTGAATTGAAAATAAATTACTGCCACCCAACCCAGTTTCCAATGCCTGAGGTATATGCAACCATATTTACAGTTATAAAGAAAAATGCATAGTCAATCTCAACTTTTTGAAAGATAGTTGGCCCTAGTCTTATTAAGTGCTGTTGTGAGTGTGGTAGTTATGTATTCTCTAGCTCTGCCATGTCCTTTACATATTAGTCCCTGCTGGATCTTCTCTCAAATGAAATGTAAGTCATCTTCTATGTGCCTTGCTTTAACCTTTCGTGAAACTTTTAGACAATGTGAATGACAGCTTGGTTGTTACTGCTACTTAAAGGGTAGTAGATCTTCAAAACCAATCTCGTTGAGTGAATGATAGATCCATAGCAATTTGCAAGAATTTAGTTCATTGCTCAATATTGAGGCTTTGCAGTTGACTTGCTTCTTTATTTAGTTTCTTCTTCGTAAAAAAATTATTTCCTCCCAATGAGCATGAAATAGCCAATAGCCAACTGTTGGTTTTCTTCTATGTCCCGTTTTGAAACTCAATTTTATAACTACTTTGGTAATGTGTAAAATAGGGGAAATTGGAAAATCATACCCAATGTGTGTGTAAGGTCTTGTAATATGTAATTGTATGCAGTAAATAGGCTTCTTTAAATATAGTACAGAGAGTACTAAAGACACACCACCACTACTACCAAACACATTTTAAATAGGAGGGTTTTCCTAGATTTTTTTTTTCTCTATAGACTAAAAGTCATTTGAATTTTCTCCTTTAGGTCTTCAAATGTGCGTCTGCAACCTGTGGCTTCTTTTATCATCCACGTTGTGTTGCAATGTTACTTCACAGGGTAAATGAGGAGATGGCTCCAAATCCGAAAGAACTTGAGAGAAATATTGCTGAGGGAGGAGCTTTTACATGTCCTACTCATTACTGTTGTGTCTGTAAAGGAATGGAAAACAAAAATGAACATGATTATCACTTTGCTGTTTGTAGGCGTTGCCCCAAGTCCTATCACCGCAAATGCATGCCAAGGTTATTTCGTTAATTTTTCCTTTCTTGCTAGTACTCATTTAATGATTATAATGTATGGAGGGCTGATTCTTAAGTTGTTTCTTATATCAGAAAGATAGCATTTGATGACACAGCGGGTGAAGATATTGTAACAAGGGCTTGGGAAGACCTTCTACCAAACAATCGCATTCTTATATATTGTTTGTAAGTGTTACAGAGTGCTGGTGGGATTATTTTACTTGTAAACCTCGTGTAATATCTTTTTCCATTCTTTGAAACAGAAAACATGAGATTGACGATGAACTTGGGACTCCTATTAGGGATCATATAAAGTTTCCCAATGTAAAAGCTACTGTTCGAGAATTTAATACCGAGGAGAATGCAAAGCCTGTAATCAAAGAGAGGGTTATATTGAACAAGAACAATATTGACTCAGAAAGTTTAAATCGCAAAAAAACTGTTGCTAAGTTTTCTAAACTGCCTGGTAAAATTTCTTCTGGAAAAGTTAGTGACAAGAAGTTTGACAAGATTTCCAGATCAAATATCTCAAGGAAGAAAACAAATGAAGCATCAAGAAGGGGTTTGAATGAAAATAAGAGGCCATTAATCCCAAAGGAAACCAGAAAGTCTGACTCTGCAGAAAATAAGTCCTCATTGGGTGCAAAATTATTTTCTTTTTGGCAGAATAGTTCTGACCAAATTAATTCTGGTAATCAGGTTGATAATGTCGGTAATAATTCCCTGCCTGTTAAGCCTACTAAAAAGCTGAGTAGTGCTAGTGAAAAGCTGAGTACTGCATTACCCTCATTAGATGAAGATTCTGAGATGAGGTGAATCTTTTACTGATCAGACTTCTGAACTGGTTATTTTTATGCATTTGCTGTTATTTTTTTCCTTGTATGTGTTTTCCATTATATTAAAATTCTATTGGATTCTTTTTTGAAACTCAAAAGCTATATTTTGGTTATTTATGATGACATTTGTTGATATGATTTCGTCTGATGTAGATTGGTGGCTATGTTTAAAGAAGCTACTTCATCAGTTACTTTGGAGGATGTTGTAAAAGAGCACAATTTTGCTACTACTCATACTCACTCATTGAAAAATGTTGTGGAGAAGACTATTACGTTGGGGAAATTGGAAGGCTCCGTTGAGGTATATATCTATCCATATTTATTACTCTAGGGTGTTTGTTTTTATGTCTTTGTTTGGAGTTTATGTACTCTATCTTTTGTATTCAGGCTGTTCGAACAGCTCTAAGGATGCTAGAGGGTGGGCACAATATTCAGGATGCAGCTGCTGTTTGTGGCCCTGATGTTCTAAACCAGATATTTAAGTGGAAGGTACAATGCTATTTTCATTAAAAAAAATTCTAAGGATTTTGGTTCTAAGCATCTAAATATTCATTCCTCTCAGACATACATCTTATTGATTGTATGATATTTTTTCGTTGCTTTTATGTCTTAACATGTGCTAGCCATGTCTTGTTCTATCTTATCAACTAAATTGTTTCCTAAACCTTTTTTCTTTCCTTCATTTATAATACACAATAGTCAATTTTAAAGTAGTATAAATGATTCAGTTCAGTTATCACTACTTTATTAACTGATTCTTTTCTGTAGGACAAGCTGAAAGTATATCTTGCACCTGTTTTATATGGTAATCGCTACACATCATTTGGTCGCCATTTTACACAAGTTGAAAAGCTGGAAGGGGTATTTATTCCTACTCTACTTTTTCTGTTATTATTTTAGTTATTCTGTCAGATTCCTGTACCTGTTTGACATTATAAAAATAAAATCTAGGGTCAAATAAGATTTTGGTACGTCCAAAATTGCCCTATATTGAAATTGGTTAATCAATTTTTTTTTTCAGTATTTTTGATACCTAACATTTAATAAATATGCTAATTTGGTCTTGATAGTTACTTTATTACTTTTGAATTAACTATGTTGACATGCTAATATTGACCATAATTCTTGATAGGTAAGATTTATTGTGATAGGTCTTGATCTTTTGCCATAATTCTTCTTTGTAAAAGTCTTGATATGATAATACCGGTTAACAAGGGAATATAGTGCAATACAAAACATATATTTTTGGTAGCAGACAACATATTTTCTTTTTAGATATGATATAATATATTTGATCATATTGAATTAGTAGTTAGGCGAAAAAATTTATTTTGAATTTAATCCACATATAATATGCATATTATCAAAATTCATTCAATTTTGCATACCCTAATTTTAATATGCATATAATCATTTATATAATTTTATGTTATGTTACAAAATTCATTAATTTTGCATATTTTGAATTTAATCTACATATAATCCTTTATATAATTTTATTATTGATTATAAAGATTCTTTCAAATAACGTGTTTGATGCGATTATATTAACAACACTAGTGTTGTAAAAAATTACTAGATAATTTGTTAAATGTTAAGAAACATTTTTGTTTATTTTTAAGTTTTTCAAAACATAGTCTTATTTATTATCATTAAAAGACAGAGTGTAAGGGTCGTCAAATATATTATTTATTGAACTAGACTGTCTGGGTATTAACAAATACTGATTTTATTATTCTCCTATTTTCTTTAGAGAGTGTTATAGATCTAGTAGTTAGGACAGACTTTTGATGCGTTACAGATTTTCTAGGTATTATGTCACAGAATAGTGGAAATAGGTAAGCTGATACCGTATTAAGGGAAAATAGATTAAAGATATTGATGCTTTTGAATTTGAATTTGATTTTGTAATGTATTATGTAGTATGATGGTGGCTTAAATGTGGCAGGTATCTTAACAAAGAAGCATCTATAATATGGTAGCTTACAATTTAGTTCAACCACATCTACTGGTTGTTGGTTATATTAGTTGCTCTAAGGTCTGGAATGATGGTGATATGACAAATAATTAAATAAATGTTCTTCTGAGGGGGCTTGAACGAAGGAGGGGGGCGGGGGGGCGGAGGGGGAGGGGGTATGTATAACAATATTTCAATACCAGCTTAAAATCTATTTTTAAAGAA